CTCTGGGGAGCACCTGTTTGTGAGCAGCCCTCCAGAGCATGGCCATCGCTGTGCTGGTGAGGATGAGGGCTAGCAGACCCGTCACAGTGCTGGGGACACCTCTGTGGCTTCTCTTCTGAGGAGGGAGTTTTACATTATCCAATTTACAAATGCATGTATTTGGGGGCTGAGTAACTACATTTGGTGCTTATATTTTTGGTGATTATAATTGACTTAGCAATTATCTTTTTAGTTGCTTTATTTTTATGTTCAGGTATATCTGAAATATATCAAGATATAGGAGGACTCTCAACGTGACATTGTTTGTCGTATAAAACCTTTAGAGCAACCGAAATAGTCCACCGTGGGTGGCTGGAGGACTCGTGGTTGACCCACACAGTGGAACACTGCCCAGACATAAACGTGACACATGAACTTGCTATCACGGAAATGGGAAGCTTCCTACGTGTGGTGTTCTGCTTACCAAAATTGTGCATGCTGAGTCACACTTGTACCCCCCAAAAAGAGACTGCACATGCAGAGCTGTTTATTCTGACATGCAGGAAACGTGTTGGGAACGATGTCCAATAACACTGGCTGCTTCTAAGGGGGGACCTGACAGCTGAGAGCCCAGGAAGAATAACTCATCAATGAACTTGATTTCAGGTATTTTCATTTTTGAACCACATGGAAATTTACTGTTAAAAAGAAAAAGAAATGCCACAGTATATTTTAGATCTTCCCATATCCATACATAGAGATTCATTTGTTATTTTTATATCTGTACAGTGTCCCATTGTGCAGATTGACCATGATTTATTCACCTACCCACTGTCAACGATTCAGGTTGCTCTCAAGTTTTTATATGACAGTGTCACAATGAAAAGCTCCCTTATCTTAATGCATTTCAGACACACCTGAGTGTAAAATTTCCCTGAAGAAAATCCCATTGTAGCGTTGCTCATAATAAAAAAAAAAGAAGGAATCAATTCATATGTAAAATAATAAGATGTTGGATAAATAAAAATTTTACCTGCCAGGAATGGTGGTGTACCCCGATAATCCCAGAGACTTGGGAGAATGAAGCAAGAAATCAGTGGTTCGAGGCCAGCCTCAGCAACTTAGCAAAGCCATAAGCAACTTAGCAAGACCCTGTCTCAAAATTTAAAAAGTTTAAAAAAGGGCTGGGGGTGTAGCTTAGTGGTAGAATGCCCCTGTGCCAAAAACAAAATAAAACAAAAACCTGTTCTAAATTGTTCTGATTTCCTTAATTTCTGATGCAGACTGATAGGTTTTTCCCTCCTGAGTAAACGCCTTGCCTGTGACCTTGTTATCTCATGTTGTAATACCCCATGCTTCCTATCTTTTAAGTTTTCCTGTTCCGGACCTTCTTCACGTTCCATCTTCTTCCCTTTGGTTTGGATGTGAGGTGGTAATCTCATTTATTCTATTGGAGGAAGTATTAAGAGTAACAACCACCTGAGACCAAAGAGGTTGCTGCTTCTCACTCTTGAGATGGCCAATGCTCCCTGAATGTGTCTGCTTTCCTAATTAAGTCTCTGACTATGCCTTGGGTGAGGGGGCAAGTGAATATTCAAATAATCGAGTCAGTGAGCTTGAACTTGTTGTGTATATTTCTGCACAGCCCTTGATTGATTAAAGCATTAGTATTATATGCTTTTATTCAGGCCTTACTAGGTAATTGGCCTTCAGGAGAAATTTATACTGTCTCACTAGGGTTAAAATAGCTTTCTCTTCTCTTCTAATTCTTTAGTTTGGAATTAGCTTTTTTTTTTTTTTTTTAAATATCATGAGTTCTCTTGTTCCCTTAAACACGTTCTGGAAAATGACTTCATTTTGCTGTAACCTGTGGGAAATGGAGTTTGTGGGGCTTTTTCTTTTCTAAAATCCAGCAGTCAGTGAAATTATTTGATACATGAACTGGACAAAACACTTTTCTGTGCTTAAATTTCCTTCCCAATGAAGGGGAGAAAATGTAATCCTCCCCCACCCCCACACACCCATGCTCATAGTGTGTAGTTGGGGCACACCCCTGTGACAAATGACAGCTACCCGGAGAAGCAAGTTTAGAACCCGTGCAGCTCCATGACTTGGGAGGAAGTAGCTCAAGGTTCAGGCCTAGGTGTCTGCCTCATCTAGCACACCCCTTAAAGAGCAGTGAAATTCAGAGATGTGCCATGAGCAGGGCAGTACGTGGGAGACACCTAGGGAGTAAAGTCCACCCTCGGATCCCGTGCACTTTGAGCTGGTAAGGGGGTGAAACAGAATTCTTATCCACATCTTTTTTTGGTGGGGGCAGGTACCAGGGACTGAACCACTTAATCACTGAGCTACATCCCAGCCCTTTTTATTTTTTATTTTGAGACAAGGTCTTACTAAGTTGCTGAAGCTGCCCATGAACTTGTGATCCTCCTGCCTCAGCCTCCAGAGTCTCCGGGGTTATATGCATGCCCCACTACATCCTCTCTTTAGGCAGAAAAAGGAGGGGGAAGATAGAAAGACCAGTTTTTTTTTTTTGTAAATCTCTGTCCTGTTTCTAGGCACACCGGCTGAGAGGGGAGGGGAGGGTGCAGAGAGTTCCCTGTGCCTTGGTTGTCTTCAGCCCAACAATTCTTCATGTCTTTGGAAGGCACATTTTGGATCCTTCACCAAGAAATAAGGTGGACAGGAGAGTGAGCCCTTAGGTATGCAAGACATCGTAATTGCATTTACATATGATATGTAATTATCATATATTATACATAATTATATGTATAAATAACATGTATTTATGGTTGGGCATGAAGCTCAGTGATAGAGCACTTGCCAACATGCATGAGATCCTTGGTTTGTCCCCAGTACCACAAAAAGAAAATATAAGTTATTTATTAATACTTTCATAGATAATTTGCCCTTCCTCCACAGTACTCTGGAATTATAACTAAAAAAAAAAAAAAGTCAGCAAGTCAGCAAGGATTTTACCTTTCCATGGAAAAACAAGAAAAAAAAATAAGAGAACGTGGCAGATTTTTTAAAAGATATGTGTATTCAATTTACAGAATTTATCCTATATCCGAATGGATCTTCAAGTTGTTAATATAGCTATTAAGATAATTTTCATTTATGAAATGTGGATGATCATTATTTTTAGTATCATTTTATTGATTTGTAAAATTCATTTCTTTAATTGATGAAAGATAAATCCAGTGGCTAATCATGTAGACTTTGAAATTACTCAAGTCTGAAAGTCCTATGATACCTGTATCATACAGTATCTGCACTCGTCCATTTTCCATATTGGAAATCCCAATGAAGTATCATCTTGGCCTGCTTAGCTTGCCATAATAAGATATAGCAGACTGGCCAGGAGCAGTATTCCATAATCTCAGCGACTCATGACGCTAAGGCAGGAGGATCCGAAGTTGGAGACCAGCCTGGGAAACTTAGCAAGACCCTGTCTCAAAGTGACATAAAAAGGACTGGCCACATAGCTGTGTGGTAGAGTGCTTGCCTAGCATACGTTTAATCCTCAGTACCCCCCTCCCCCCGGACTGGGTGATTTGACAACAGAAATTTATTTCTCTACCATTCTGGAGGCAGAAAGTCTGACAGTAGGGTGCCAGAAGTGTTGGGTTGGGGAAAGGATTATCCCAGCTCACAGATGGCTACCTCACCTTTTGTCCTCAATTGGTAGAGAGACGCAGGTTCTCTGTTGCATGTTCTCATAAGGGTGCCAATACCATCATGTCAGCCCCACCCTCGTGAATGGACTAAAACTCATGACTGTCTGAAGTCCCATCGCCAAATGCTGCCACGTTTGAAGTCAGGGCCTCAGCATGTGAATCCGGGGGTAATACAAGCATTTAGTTTGCAACATGTGTTGTTATGGGGTTAGGATGAAGTGAGGCCCAGGATCCTAGAAGATTCAGTTCTTTCTGGGGTTAAACTACTCCTAGGTTTGGGGGACAAAAAGGGCAAATGCCCGGTCACTAACTAAGACTTTGAAGTCTGGAACCTCAGGGGGAATCTCTGGAAACTAAGCAATTGGCTCACAAGAACACACCCAGGGAGGCTGACTTGAACTACCTGCGACAATCTCATCATCGAACTCCAGGCCATGAGCAGAGAAGGGCTTTTACATGTCAAGTGGATGAAAATGGATACTCAAAAGAATATTTTGCAACATCTAAAGATGATATAAAATTCAAGTCTCAGTGTCCCCAGGTGAGATTTATTGGAACACAGCCACTCACGTTCCTCTACATGTGGTCAGTGTTGCCCACCTGCTCCAGCGGCAGAGTTGAGACTAAAATACTTACTGTTTGGCCTTTACAGGAAAAAGTTTGCCAGGCCCTAATCTACCAACAAAGCTGGCCAATGACTTCTTTTACCTATTCCTAAGTCCAAATCCTAGCTAAAAATGTATTTTAAAAGGTGCAGCGCCGCATCCATCAACATAGAAGAAATGGAGCCAGAGACAGACCTGTATAAAAACTTGCAGAAACTGGTTTATGGGTTGTCCACTTCAAGTTTTCTAATGCCTGGGGGCTGGGGTTGAGGCTCAGAGGTAGAGCGCTCGCCTAGCACATGCAAGGCCCTGGGTTTGATCCTCAGCACCACATAAAAATAAATAAGTGAAATAAAGGTATTGTGTCCAACTACAACTAAAGAAAAAAAAAGTTTTCCAATGTTTGACTGTTCCAGGGAAAAACTGAGAAACCTCAGTAAGAGAACCTCAGTAAAAGAACCTCAGTAAGCTGCTCATGTTTACAACCCTTGGGACGTTCAGCCTTTATCAGATATGATCTGAGGTCCTAGAATTGGGCCAATCTAGATCAAGAATCACCTTAAGCCTCCTCCTTGATTGACACTTATCCCTCCCATCAAAAGAGAAGGGAGGACAGGAGCTAGCTTGGTGCCTTTTCTCGAATTCAGCACTTTGCAGTGAACATTGGTGACACTCTTCTTATCAGGCCACTTCCTTTATGATGGTTTTTGTTTTGTCCCCCTTCCACCCAAAGGTGATTTTAAAGGATGTGGACTCGCTTCTCTATGTGGACACTGACGTCCTCTTTCTGAGACCTGTCGATGACATCTGGAAGCTTCTGCGGCAGTTCAACTCCACCCAGCTGGCAGCCATGGCCCCAGAGCATGAAATCCCCAAGATCGGCTGGTATAGCCGCTTTGCTCGCCACCCTTTCTATGGCTCTGCGGGAGTTAATTCAGGGGTCATGCTGATGAATCTAACTCGGATAAGAAGTACCCAGTTCAAGGTAAGAGTGCTTTGGAATTTCTTTTACAGATTGGGAGTTGTCAATCGTGACATGCCTGGGTCGTCCATGCCCTGATTCAGGGAATGTGGCAGGTGGCCTGCAGGTGCGGATGGACGATGGACGTCCCTAGAGGAAAGGGTTTAATCTGGAAAGTTATAGGGTATTTGTTTATTTGGGGAAAGCCCAGATGGTTAGGGAATGTGTCGCTTTTACAGTTCCCGCCCAGGGATAAGCTGTGGCACTTCTGAACTCTGCATATCCAAGGCTTCCAAAGCCACGCAAAAAAATTTGGGGATCACTCTAGCCACATGTTGACAGGAGTATGCAGAGATAGTGATGCAGGGGTGTTTGTGGTCTCATATTTTATCCTAGGAGAGAACTGGAAACCACCTAAATAAATCAGAAAAAAGAACCAGTAAAAACAATTATCCTCAGATTAAAAAGAAAGTTAATTATGGCTGGCGTAGAGCTCAGCGGTGGTGGTAGGGCCCTGGCCTAGACTGCACAAGGCTCTGTGACTGGTCCCCAGCCCTGAAAAACATTTAAAAAGGATAGATTAGTGTATAAGTGAGACAAATAAGATCTCTAAAAAGAACCAAGTGAGAAAAACCTACATGTAGCAAGTGTATCATGGCACTGTAGTGTGCTCATGTTGATGGCTTAGAAGTTTCCAGAACACCTAGACTGTTAACTGTTCATTGTGGATGCTTCTGGGGAAACTGGGAATGAGATTTGGAGGAGGAGAGTGAAAGAAATATTCTTACTTTTTGAATTTTTATCTCTATGTACTAACTGAATATATAATATGTCACATTTAAGAGTCAATAATCGTTTAAGATACTACAATTTTGCTATCTGTGTTTTGCTTCTGAACTTCAGAGATGAGAAATAAGCCTAAGAAATAGGTTCAGTGTCAGGCATGGGTTTCAGAATAGAAGCGGCAGGTCCGCCGTCCAGCTCCAGGTCAGTCGGCATCCGTGTGTCCACCAGGAAGCCCACACCCTGCGGCCCTGATTTTGCTTTGTCCCAGGCCTGAGGCTAGCAGCAGCCCTCTGTGCTTTGTCCTGGGAGGGAAAGAAAAGCAGTCCCTCCCCTGCTTCTCAGTGGACACGGTCCCCTGGCTTCGCCTCAGCTGCTCTGATGGTGTCCTCTCTTCCAGAACAGCATGACTCCGACAGGCCTGGCTTGGGAGGACATGCTGTACCCGCTGTACCAGGCGTACAGGAACGCCATCACGTGGGGGGACCAGGACTTGTTAAATATCATCTTTTACTTCAACCCAGGTAGGTCCTCGTTCACAAAGGTCGTGTGTGGGGAGAGGAGGGACGCCCACCTGGCGCCACAGAGACACCCCGGGTCTGGCTGCTGTTGACTGGGCCCGAGTGGGGCAGAGGGGCTGTGTCCCCTGCTCCTGCCCTTCCATCTGCCCCCTGGGTGTCCGGTGGAAGAGGAACCTCAGCTCCATCACAAAAGACCAGATGTTGAGGTCTCCAGCTCGGGCCTCCGTTTTGAGGGACTGTCTTTGCGACTCTGCGTCACCACTCTTCCAAGAAGTCAGTCAGATAAGATGCACAGGTCGAAATGGCAGTGGGGTGTATGCCCATGTGTGGCTACAAGTACGTGACATAAACTCGCTGCCCACCTTCCTCTACTGAGGCATCCAAAGGGTCCTCACGGTTGCCTTCCCAGAAACCCTCATAGCCCATTGCAGACTATTTGAGGACGAGATTGGTGAGTAAATGAGTTTAATGGCTTCCCTACTCGTACCTAGATCCCCTGAGTAAGACTACCGTAATTAGAGGTCGCGGAACCTTCTGAGTTTAATGGCTTCCCTACTCGTACCTAGATCCCCTGAGTAAAAATATCATAAAGTGATTTTGAAGCTGCTTCCGAATCCTGGTTCCAGGCAGGTGAAGTAAGTCACCAAGTTTTAGATCCCCTCTGGGTGCACTGCCTGTTCCTTGTTGGCCGACTTTGATCTTGTTTCACACTCCACCCCGGAGCCTCTAACTGGAATCCAGCAATGTCCCTCCCACTGTCCGTTTCCCTCCATTTACATGGTCTGTGAGCACCGTGTGTGACCCGGACCAACGACATTTGAAAACAGGATGTGTCACCTTTACCCCTAGGAAGGAGAGAGGGAGGCTGTGTGGGCTGCGACTCTGGAAATACACATTCATGTGCCGGTTGCTTGGGTTGCTGTGGATGAAGCAGCCACATCAACCCATGGTCCACCTAGAGTGCCATTGTTATTAGCGTCTCCTGTAGCCAGTGACACGGCTTTCTAAAATGTGTTTGAAACTCATTAGGTAAAAATGTTTTAGAACTCTTGCTATAATTAGATAGTAAAAGGCTGTGGGGATGTAATTGCAATGCTGGGTAATAAACTGGCTCAAGAGGAGTCGGCCCAAGCCCATGGGTCCCTGCAGGTGGCTCCTCCCACAGGACCCTGGGGCGGGCGGCTCCTTCCAGGGAGGAAGACTGAGCTCACACCCTGACAGGGGAATTTAAGTCAGGAGCAGAGTTCTGTGGAGTCTGAAAATCTGACATGAGCCCAAAGAGAACTCTCTAGAAAGAGATACGGAGCCGACTGCACGGAGGCAGGCTAAGCGAGAGGGAGACTCGATAAGTCTGGGGGCTCTCACGACAGGTGGGTCAGGCCACACAGGCTCCATGGGATGGCTGCAGGAAGGCCTGTGGGCTCTGCCGTCTTGGCCTCTCCCCCTGCCTGTCTGGCTGCTTGCTGTCTCCCTACACCTTAGTTTGCCCAAGGCCCATTTTGGTGGCCAGGTCAGCACGATCATAGGAGTCCACTAGCTAAAATGATGGCTTTCTTATGTTTCCAATTCCAGACAGACAGACAGACAGACACTGACCTCGCTTGGCTATGAAGACCCCCTCAGTCCAGTCAATAGGACCAGCCATGCATCCATGTGACATTTCCCTCTCAACGTGATCACTTAGATCTGCTTCTTCTTCTGGGGCCATTTCTAGAAAAGTGGGCTGTGGGCAGGGAAGAAAATGACCCCAACCAGGTACAGATGACTAGGTGGAGCACCCAGCCAGAGGGGCAGCAGGAGAGCTCTGCCAAAGGGGGCAGAAGGGCGGGCACCCTGTGACCGTCAGACGCTGATGTGAGCTGAGTGCACGACCCGAGGGAGGCAGGAGGGGCCATCGTCACGGGGACAGCTCTCCCCAGTGGCCTTATTTAAGCCTGCTCTCCTCCTGCCAGGATGGATGTGCAGTCCCCAGAAGCAGCCAGCATCAGGTGGCAGTGAGGGCCACACTCTGGAGTTGACACAGCCGATGGCTTCACAGCAGGACCGTTCAGGGAAACCCAGTGTGGGGCGTCTGGGAAGTTCACAAGCCCTGAGACAGAGCACGAGAGAAGAGTGGGAGGTGCCAGGTCTGTGACAAGGGGTGGTGTCCACTTTCTGTCCTTCCTGGTGAGAGGCTCAGCACCTTCAGGGAAGTTGGTCTTCAGAGTTGGGGTTGAATTAATGGAATTGAGAGAAAGGAGGGGAGGGGCAGGGCCAATGGAGGGAAAGAGGGCACAACCAGGAACAGGAGAGAAGCAGGAGGAAGGACAGCCATCGTGTGGCGGACAAGGCACAAGCACCACCTCATTCATTCATCCAGGGTTATTTTTTGAGAACCTACTGGGCTCCCGCCACTGGGTAGGTGCTTCAGAGAGCAGAAGCGCAGGTCCTGCTGTCATGGAACTTGCCTGTTACTGAGAGAAGAAGACTCCCAAAGAGTCCCCTGTCCTTCGGAACCACTGAGATCTGATGGTGACATGAAGGAACAAATGAGGCGCTAAGGAGAGGCCGCTGGGCTGGAAGGGGGAGGGCCCCCTAGATTGCATAATAAGAAACGTCTTCTTGGAAGAAGGTGCATTCTAGAAGAAAAGAGGAGACTGGGAGAGCTTGCCGCAGTCTGGCTGGGCACACAATCACGAGCCACCACACAGCTTGTAGATTCAAACAGCAACTCTTTATTCCCGAACTCACACCAGCCGTCTACAATCACGTTCTGGGGAAATCCACGTTCTCTGCCCAAATCCACCTCCACTGGGCTTCTATCTCCCAAAGAATACTGTCTGAATCCCGTGAGAACTCAAGGGGAACTCAGGCAGCAGGATACGCCCTATTCCCAGCAGGAATAATCTTAAACCTTAAACCTGGAACCTAAACCGGGAACGCCCTAAACCTGATTATCTTAAACCGGGAACACCCTAATCCGCCTTGGTCCTTGAGCAAGGTCACCTACATTCAATGTCACTGCAACATGGGGTACGCTGGCAAGGAAATTGTCATACCTACTTGGCTAATGGCTCCCAGCAAGAGCTGAGTTCCAGGAAAGGGCTTCACAAAAATGAACGCTGGGACAGTGCAGCCAGCAGCCTGGCCTGTTGGCACGGTGGCTCTCAGTGACCATGTTGCCATGAGGTAGAAGGGGTCGGGTGTGAACAGAAAGGAACCGGAATGTGAGGAGCAGCCGACCCACAGGGCTTTGCCCTGGCTGAGCCCTGGAGGCCAGTGTGGGCCTGGGAGCCCAGGGTCTCACACGCACAGAAGTTCACGAGCTTCTTCACATAAAACTGAGAGAGAGATACAAAGACCAAGGGCTCCAGATAGGTTGGCTTTGAAAGGACTTTTGGTATGTGACAGAGGTTGGAGCTTTTGGGGGTCTGGGATTTTAAAGTCATGCGTGGTGTTATTCCTTCAGCAGTAAGTAAGTCCACCTGAGCTGTCTGTTTTAAACATCAGACTTTGACAGCCCTGAGAACCAGGCCTACAATAGACCCATTTCAGAGCAGGTTATTGATCATGTGCTAAGTAACTACCCTAGTGCGCTCCGGGGGTTGGCTAGCTGATCTGCAGGGGGTTCCGCCCTCAGCCCTCTCCATGACACTGCCTTAGCCCCCTCTGTCTTTCCGTCCCCGACAAAATGGGGATCTCACAGTGTAACCCCTGCAAGGTGGAGCTGTAAATAAAGGACACATCTGTCACCCTTAACTGCCACAATGGATTTCCCTCTGTTTCTAGTGACTCGAGAGGAATTTCTCTTCTGCCACTGCATGCAGTCCTCGTGCCCTGCCCTCCCTGTGGCTCCTGCTAAACCAGTCGGGCCGTCTCCTGTGAGCTTAACTCTGGAGCCCAAGAGCAAAACAGTAGCCAAGGCTGGTTCACCTGCACTGCTCAGTCCCCAGCCCAGATGGCCGGAGCTGCCCTCCTTCCTGCCTGCATCAGCGCCACCTCCACTGGATGAGCTTCCTCCTCTCCTCTCGAAAGAACAAACTCATTCTCTTTTGCTTCACAAACTAGAATGGAAGTTAATTACTTGCCTCCTTACCTAGGTTTCTATGTTTTGAATATTTTAGGCCAGAGCAAAATTACTTTTTTCAAAGTGATTTTTATTGGTACATTATAATCATACATCTTAGGGGGTGCATGACGTCACATTTGTACCTTCAGGTAACATGATTTCATCAATGTCATGCCCTGCTTGCTCTAGTCTACTGATCCTATTTTTATTGGTATTTAATTAGCATTATAATTTTATTTATATATATTCATATATGAATTATAATTATATATAAAGGCTGCATTCATTGTGGTTCATTTGTACATAGATATAGCATAATTTGGTAGATTTTGCCCCAACTATGTAACAGGAAGGGTTATATGCAAAGCATGAAGTGGCCCCTGTTGCACGTCCTTCCCAGACCTTCCCCTCTCCCCTCCTCTCCGTCCCTTCTTGGGCTCTATCTGTCTCCCTTCTGTTTCCCTGAGACATCTTTCTTTATCCTTTCTCTCTGCCCGCCTCTATAGCTTCCATGTCTGTGGCAAAACGTTCATCAACCCTTGACTTCCTGGGTCTGGCTTATTTCCCTTCGCATGATGTTGTCCACTTCCATTCATTTGCTGGCAAATGTCATAGTTTCATTCTTCTTTGTGGCTGAGTAAAACTCCATTGGGTATCTATCCCACATTTTCCTCATCCATTCTTCCGTTGACGGACATCTGGGCTGGTTCCACTTGGCTGTTGGGAATGGCACAGGGCAATGTATTCCTGAGACAACTTTTTTCCTTTTGCCTGCTCCATTTGAAGAGCTCACCTTTACCCCAGGAAAACTAAGATCATATGTCTTTTCTAAAACACAGTCTGAGCTGGGTGTGGTGGCACACACCTGTAGTCCCAGCTACCTGGGAGGCTAAGGGAGGAGGATTGCAAGTTTGAGGTGAGACTCAGCAACTTAGCGAAACCCTGTCTCAAAAGTAAAAGACCTGGAGATGCAGCTCAGTGGTAGCACACTTGCCTAGCATCGGTGAGTCCCTGGGTTCAATGGCCAGTACTGCAAATATACACACACTCCCTGATTTTCAAGCATTGTCCCTCATCTTGTCCTCTTCGACTGTTCTTCCAAGTCTCTGTTGCTGGCTGTGAGAATTCCATCCTTACCTCACCTCCTGGGGATGAGCTCTCCCTCCAGGACTACTGAAAGCACCATTCATCTCGCTCCTACTGTGCACCATCTCCAAGAGCACAAAGCCCCAGGGGCAGGAGCAGCTCCTTATCACGCACCAACCTGGTTCCCCGCAGCAGAGCACAGAACAAAGCCAGCGTGGACTGTGCGCTCAGTATGTTTTGCGTTGTTCTGGGAGATTCTGCAGGGTGTGAAGATGCGAATTGAATTCTGTCTGGAATCCCGTTTCCTATTTGAGATCCTACAGCTGAGATTCTTAGCTGGTCTTTATGAGATTTATAAATCCCTGAACTTGTAAGCAAATGTTCTTTGTGAGCCTATATACGTTCCCAGTTGTATTTTTCCAAAGTCAGGGTGTACAGCTTTCATTGGATTCTCAGACAGATCTGTGACCTATAAAATGTTAAGAATGACTGGCCACCTGCGTGTCCAGGAGCAATTGGAATAGGTATTTATCACAGGTGGACTCTGTTCGAAAGTAGTCCTGGCTCGTTCAGTTGAAGTACTCTGGTTTCCCCTTCTAGTAACCTAACGCCCACCACCTCACCGTGACGCTGACGGTGGTGACAGGTAGTGTCGCTGCTTGTGTTCTGCTTCTTAGTGCCAGCCCCTATTCCCAGCATGCGTCTAACACCCTCCACCTCCCATCAGGTGGTGTCTGTGCTTCTCCCCACTTTACAGAGGATGAAACTGAAGCACGGAAAGGCCATGTGGCGTGTTTGGATTGACTCCACCAGTGGTGGAGCCCTGTGTTCCAACCCTGCAGAGGTTGAGTGCAGAGCCGGTTCCCAGCCGCTCTGCTGTCAGGTCACAGCCAACAGGGGGGATTCAGGCCTCAACTGAGGCCAAGTGTCTCAATAACACCAAGGTTAGAGAGCCAGCAGGGGGTAGAAGCCAATTTGAACCAACATCTGTCCGACTCCCAAGCCGTGGCCATTTCTACTTCCTGCCACGTAGCGCCCCTTACTGGGTCCAGGCCTCTACAGAGGCCACTGTGGGAGAAAGGTGTCCTTGTGCACGAGGTCCTAAGGCGCTTGCCAGAAGCGAAAGCCTCGCCAGTGCTAAGCTCCCAGAAGGCAGGGCTGGACTTGCCCAGGATCACGCACAGCGGGCACTCAGCAGATGTTATTGATTCAGTCAATGGATTGATAAAAGCAGAGATGGGTTCTAGACCGATCCGTGAAGCTGGGAACCTTAGCAGGTTCGATTCAAATGCCCACGCAGGTGTCGTGTGTGGCTGATGCAGACCATCGAGTCACGGAGGAAGTCGCTGGGCACCGCTGGGCTTCTCGTCCCTCCGGTCCTCACATCCAGCCTGCAGTAAACGCAGAAAGGCCCCACAGGGGACAGATGTGGGCTCAGATCTAGGGATTGTGACTTGAAGGCGGCCACCACACTCGCGGACTGTGAACCTGCAGTGTGGGGGTAAGGGGGGGACAAGCGAGGGGGAATGGGGTGCTCCGGGAAGAGGAGAGCGGGTGCTGTGTGCCATGAGGCGTTTGGGAGGGTCCTGATGCCTCTGGCCAGTCAAACACCAAGCTGCAGAAATATACATGGTCTGCATGAGGCAGGGGGGTGCTGGTCCTTGGTTCTCTGGTGTCCATACTGGAGCCTTCTGTAAGTAATCTGTTTTGGGGGGGTGGGTCCTGGGGATGGAACTCAGGGGCACTCCACCACTGAGCCACATCTCAGCCGTATTTTGTATTTTATTTAGAGACAGGGTCTCACTGAGTTGCTTAAGGCCTTGCTAAGTTGCTAAGGCTGACTTTGACCCTCCTGCCTCAGCCTCCCAAGCCACTGGGATCACAAGCGTGCACCACCGTGCCTCTTAAAGGTGGTCCTCTCCGTGAGGAGGGAGGCCATCGGCCCGGGAAGAAGCACGTCCACCAGGGTTGATTGGCTGTAGCCCTTCCTTGGGCTCACAGGGCCCTCCTCACCCTCAGTGATGCCTTTGCAGAGAGCTGTGATCTGATCCTACTGCTCGGGCCTCAGCCTGACAGGCCTCAGGCCTGGGAGCTGGCAGCTCAGGCTCAGGAACTTACTGCCATTCGCATAGTAACTGCAGTCAGCAAGGGGGAGTCTTCCGTGTCCAGTAGGATTAGAGGGGCAGTCTCAGTGTCGGCACTCCAGCTCTTGTGGGGGCTCTCGTGTTCACTGTAGGACATGACAGCATCCCTGTCCCCTATAGGATGCTTAGAGAACCCGAGCAGATGCCAGTAGCAGCCTCCCCGTACCTAATGGTGGCAAGACCCTGTTGGGGAAGAGTCTTCCAAAGGTGAACCAGCATGCTTCAGAGATGCACACTCACACGCGTGTGCACACACAGAGCACTGTGCACATGCTCGTCCTGGGGGAGGCTTTGGAGATGCACACTCACACACATGTGCACACACAGAGATGGTGCACATGCTCGTCCTGGGGAAGGGCTTCATCTAAAGAGGAATCCCGGCCTCCATCCAGAGTGGGTCTGTCCATTTCACAAAATCTTTCCTAGGAGTTGGTTCTAGGGCTGGGAATGGAGCTCAGGGGAAGAGCACCTGCTGAGTAAGCATGCGGCCCTGTTCTAACCCCAGCACCACCCCCAGAAATGAGTTGATCAAGCTGCCAACAGTACTGAGTACTGCTGTGTGCTTGACCCTCTGCTAAACATTTTCCATGTATTTAAAAAAATTCAGTTGTCAAAATCAGAGGGATAAACTGCTGGGCACGGTGACTCATGCCTGTAATCTCAGGCATGGGATTACGGGAGGCTGAGACAGGAGAATCTCGAGTTGAAAGCCAGCCTCGGCAAAATCGAGGCACTAAGCCACTCAGTGAGACCCTGTCTCTAAATAAAATACAGAATAGGGCTGGGGAGGTGGCTCAGTGGTCCAGAGCCCCTGAGTTCAATCCCTGGTACAGAGAAAAGAAAAAAAATCAGAGGGAAGCCCTGCTATTTCCACTCTGCAGATGCGGAGTTCAAGGACATGGGTGACTGGGACTTGGGCCAGGCTGTCTGGTGCCCTGACTTGACTTCGTTTTGGATGAGACTCTTATCGTCGTCAGTGGGTGTGACTTCAGTTCATGATCTCAGGATGTTGTCAGGTTTGCTGAAATGTGGTCTGAGTCGCAGTCGCCCTCGTGCCTGTTGAAATGGCGCCGGCTGACCGGCGGGCCTGAGCCGGTGGCTTGCCCCTGTCTCCGCAGAGCGCCTCTACCTGTTCCCCTGCCAGTGGAACTACCGGCCGGATCACTGCATGTACGGGAGCAACTGCCGAGAGGCTGAGCGCGAGGGCGTGTCGGTCCTGCACGGCAACCGGGGCGTCTACCACGACGACAAGCAGCCCACCTTCAAGGCGCTCTACGAGGCCATGCGGGACGTAAGTGGCACTGCTGAGCCCGCGTGCGCACGCCGCCTGGGGCGCCGTGGTCGCCAGGCCCTTCGCAGTGCAGATATTCCCAGAGCCTGGGGTTTCACCAGTTCCCCCCGCCCCCCAGCCACCACATCACCAAATCCCCTTGTCCCCAGGACCATAACTGCGTCTGCTCCTGACTTGATATTTCCACCTAAGTCTCTCATCCTTTCTGACTTAAATTCACTTTGGGAGGAAGTCTCATATCAAAAGAGAACTCCTGTGCCCTTTGCCCTGGGAGGGGTCCCAGGATAGGGTAGAGACGACCCAGGAGAAATAAGATGGCACTACCCGGTTCCAGTCCAGTGTTTCCTGTCTGCCAGCTCTAAGCCCTGGAGCACTCGGGAGCCCAGGGGAACGGTTAGGACAAAGAGCTGAAGGGAGGCGGCAGCAGGCCCGTGTTCACCCACCTGCAACAGTGCGAGAGGGCTTGTCGTTTCCCACCAAAGGGCCCAGGGCCAGGGTCAGGGGGTGCCACAGAGGTGGCAGGAGCCTTCCCACTGCCAGGGAGCCCCAGACAGAGGCTTTTACACCTCGTGGACCCACGAGCCAGGGATGGAGGGAGGAAAGGAGAAGCAGGTCAGAGTGGAAAGGCACGGAGCCAACGTGGAGAGAAGTGGCAGAGCCACCGCCCCTGGTAAGGTGGCCTCCATGGTTTGAGTGTTTGCATGGATGGCCCAGGGCGGAGGCCTGACCACTGCAGAGCCGAAGGGGTGGCTCACGCCTGTGATCCCTGCTACTCAGGAGGCTGAGGAAGGAGGACCACAAGTTGGAGGCCAGCCGAGGCAACTTAACAAGATCATTAGCAAGATCCTGTTTCAAAGTAAAAGTGGTACAATCCTCAGTACCTTAAAAAAAAAAAAAAAGTCACCTGTGCTGCTGTGGCACCAAAGCAGCCAGAGAGTGAACAGGTGAATGGCTGTCCCCACATCCCGATGAGATCATTCAGTAGTGCTGAAATTTGAACTTCATATGGTTTCCTCCTGAATCACCAGGCTCAGGCCTGAGCCACCCGGCTGGCACAGAGATGACCACTTGTGAGAGAGACTGCAAGTTCACAAAGTCTGTAGTCTCTCTAGTCCCCCTTCCCGAAGCCTGCCCACCCTAACAGGCCTCTTAGAGACTTCTTCTTAAAGGCCCAGGATTTCACAAACAGGCTTGGCAGGAGTGCGGCAGGACATGGCGACACACCGTGTGTCTGTGAGAGGGCATTTTACCTGACACCACCGGAGAACTCCAAGGGGAGCCCCAGGCCTGGCCCCTCGTGCAGCCAGAGCTTGGCACACACCTGGGCCGATGCCACTGCCCACCTGCATTCCCCAGGCCTGGCTTCCAAGGGCCAGGCGACTCAGCTACATCCAACCTCTGTTCTAACTCAGAGGTGTTTTCACGTGTAGTTATTCAAACACTGAGTCCAGGGCCGGGCGCAGTGGCCTTGCTAAGCAGGCAGCTAGCAGCCAGGGCCTCTCGGCTTTCTCTTGCCCATCAGCCCTGGCCTGGGCCAGGAAGTTGTGCTCCTTGGGTTACAGCTCATCTCGTCTGTTTTCTCAGGGGTCAGAAAGAGGCCAGAGAATCTAGTTTCATAAATAATTCCACCAACTCACTCTGTGACGCTCCTCAGTTGGGCCTAAAAACAATTTTCACTCAGGCCTTTGAATCCAGAAAACCCCAAATGGCAGAGTGAGTGCCCCCGGCCAGACTCTATCCTAACAGTGTCCTCCCTCCCCACCGGCCATGGTGCTGTGCCTGTGGTCGGGGTCAGAGCCTGGCCGTGGGCCTGCAAACATAGGCTCAAGTTCCTATTCTGTCACTTTCCAGTGGCTAATCCTTAGCTGTGCTTTCAGCCTCCGGCCTCAGAATCCTTGTCTGTGCAGTGGAGATCATTATGCTGATTAGCCACCTCAGGAGAAGGTCGTGAGAACCCAGCAAGATGACAGTTTTCAGCTTTTAGGACACCACCTGACAACTGTCAGCAATAGGGCAGACTCTTCCACTAGCAGGGACCTCAGCCAATCCTGGGACTTGGTCAGATGGAGACCTCGGTGATGGGAACCCAGAGGAGGTCCTGCTAAGCAGAAGGACCGGGGCTGAGTCCCCAGGCAGGAAGGAATTCCATGTGCCCAAAGGACTGGGAGGAGGCCACCATGTCCAGAATGAGAAGGGTCCCAGGTCACCTTGGGCCTCTAAGACCAGGGAGGAGTTGGACTCCTCGTTGCAATGGGAAGCCCTGCCAGAAGGTGGGGGACTCTGATTTATGTTTGGAAACACCCCTGAGGCAGCCTGGTGGAGGGGCGCGGGAGCGGAAGACAAAGGCGCTCTGTACCTGGGCTGCACCACTCAGGGAGGGTCCGCAGCAGGGGCTCGCGGGAGGGATGCAGAGGGAGGGCCTTGCTCTGGCTGACTGTCAAGCTGGTGCTTCAGGACTTGCTGAGGGGTGGGCCGAGGGGCGCGGGGAAGAGGAGTCCAGGAGGACTCCAGGTCCTCCTGCTGTTCTGCTGGTTGGGGACACGGTGATGGACAGGGGCAGAGTCATGCCCACCTCAAGGGTGCAGCAGTGGCATAGATAATGCTACTGAAGAACAGAGTGTCCCAGCCCTGACCTGGGCCCATGCACTCCTGTACTGTGTCAGTCATCACCTCCCTCCGGGAAGGAATTGCATTCTGATAAACATGCTTGAGCAACATTTCTGATGAACTTGAAGGGCACTGAGACTTGTTCTGGGAAACCGAAGCCCACACACGATGCTGTTGGGCAAGAGTGTCCCGCCCTTTAACCGTTCTTTTCTTCCATCTCTCCTCTCAAGTCTTTTCACATGAAATGTTCTTGCTAAGAATGAAGCTTTGTCTGGGTCTGCTAGCGGCCTTTTCCCTTTCAACAAGAGTGGGGTGAATTTTGACATTTGCCCGTGACTAAGTAGTCTGTACGATTTCTTTTGGAAAATACTGCTCATGGACACATCCCATAGGAAAACAGGAGCGTTCAAATCCAGGACAAAAAACAAACCCTCAGATGTGAAATACGAATTATTACAGTAAAGTGGATGGCCGTGAATTACACCGGTCCTTGCTGGACTCTGGACTTTCTGAGGTCATCCTACACATACCTTGAAGCTGGTTAAGATTGCTTCAAAGGCAAAAAATAAGAATTCAGTAGATAAGGCACAGTGGATTTCGAGCACCTACTTGAGTTCTGCCCCTCCTCAGCGTGAACACACTGTGTGTAAAGGATTCTGTCCTAAGACACAGGCGTTGTCTTCAGATTCTAGGAGCTTTAAGGACCCAGTAAATCATATATGTATATTTTTAAGAGATGGAGACATGCAGTCCACAGGTTCAATGATTGCTTGGGGTTGCACAGTAGACCAGATTTGAATTTAGGTCCTGCAGTTCCTTTCACTAAGCCTATGAGTACACAAACCTGGACCCTGGCGCTGATAGTCAGTCCCTGGGTCGGTTTTAGTCAGCATGATTTGTATTTTAAATGGCATTTTGGTGACTAAAATAGACTTCTTTGTTTTATCATCTTTCAGTTTCCCTTTCAAGACAACCTCTTTCAGTCCATGTACTACCCTCTCCAGCTAAAGTTCCTGGAGACGGTGCACACTCTCTGTGGACGGATCCCACAAGTTTTCCTGAAGCAAATCGAGAAAACCATGAGGAGAGCTTATGAGAAGCACGTCATCATCCATGTGGGCCCTGACCACACGCACTGACCGTCTCCTCGAGTTCCGGGCCCTCAGGCTTCTGTGGCCAAGGAAGTGCCCAGATCTTTTTCTGTGTGAATATTTTTAATGGTGCTTCATGACTGTTGAGTATTAAAAGGCTTATTACATTTTGCTAAATTAGTTGCCCCCAAAAGGGAACATGCCTTTAATTTTTTCTAAAATCCTATTTATCTCTTTAAAAACAAAAACAAAAACCCTACTACTGTGCAGGTAACAGTGCTCCAGCAGGTCCAGCTGGCTGTGGAAAGGAACTTTCCAGAACCTTTCAATTCTCGGCTAGTGTGTGAGGCCATTTCAGTGGCATCTGATGATCCCGAGCCTCCTTCTATGCAATTGGCACCCTCACCCTTGTTATAAAAGTCATCCGTAGTTAGGAGGCAAACAAACAGACTTTAGAGTATAGGTAAAGGGTCCAAAATCAACATTAGGTTAGTCGTCCCACCAACCAGTGGAAAAGATGGTCACCATTTTAATGTACCTCCTTCCAGCCCTCCCACCACCCTACTTTTTTTAAACCTTTTTTTCTTATTTTCTACGTCTGATTTTTCATTATAACTCATATTTACAACAGGTAATCTCAGTAACAGTGGCCCCTATGCTGAGATTTTTATGTAGGAGACTAAAAAGTCAGACAAGATGATCATGTTTACAGCACTTTACTCGAATGTATCTGGAAGAAGCATTCGGATCTCAACTGACTGGGCAATGTTCAAGGATGAGGCATATATCTGAGGGTGTTTCTCAAGAAAATTGCTTACATTTGTGGAGGACTAAATCATGAGAAATGTCTATGCAACAGTAATTTCTGGAAGGAAATTCAGTAAGTGCACGGACCCAGGAATCTCGTTAGCAAAGTGATGTGACTTTGTGTTTACTCAGAGACAAACCAATTGGGTGTCTTCAGCCATCAGTAGGCGTGGGCACCTCTCTCCTGCTCTTGGGCAGTGGTGGAAATCAATACCAACTTCAGATTTAATGGGATCAAAGCCAACAGTTCTAATTCCATTGGCCAAAAAATTACCTCACTACCAGCCTCAGAAAGTCTGATTTTTTTTTTCCTTTTTTCCTCTGGGGTTACCCAGCTGTTCACCAAGAAACCCAGCAGGTCTTAGGACCAAGCTACAATACTGGAAATTCTATATTCTCTTCCCTACAGGAAACTGACTTTCCCCCTGTTGCTCCTATGTTGGTATTGACAGTGGGACATTTCGCATATTTCTTTATCACAAATGGCTTTTGCATAAATGACATCTTTAAAGTTTCCCACAGCCTAATGAACTTGGTGGGGACCTACATCATCTCCATTAGGTAAATAAGGAAATTATGATACAAAGAAATGAATGTACCAAATAAAATTGCTTTTCTATAAGTCACACAGGTCTGCATAAGATGCATCCAATTTTACAGAAACAGTTTTTGGAAATAAAAATATGGAGCCCCTTGCTTCGTAGACAGCAATCCACAAGAGAAAAATGGAAAGCATGATTTTTATTAATGTCAGTATGGCGTCCTGTGTATCAGAATCCTAGGACATCACGTCAGCAGAGTGTCTTCCCCTGAAAGAGATGAAAACCTCAGCATTCAAAGACATGAGCAGATTCCGGTCACTGCTGGTGTGTGTGCCACAACTGTGGTTGTCACAAGCTTAAGTCTGCAAGAGCAGGCAGTCACCCCGGCTCTCCTGGTGTCCAGTTGGATGGCCTGGTTTGTTCCCTGTTAAGGAAACTGCCACTGTGATGTGGAACTCTTATTTTGCTCTTTTGTCCCCTCATGCACCACCAGAAGTGACATCGTCCATTTTTTCATATCTCAGTGTTGGGCCTTCCGTCTGTGTCCTGGGCACCTCTCATACGTGGCCATCTTGGACTTGTCTTTGGATGAAGGAAAATGCACCTTACATTCCCAGCTCTGCAGTGAAAGAGGCAGGATGTGAACACGAATCCGGACTCTCCATTCCCATTTCCTTTCCGCGTGTTCAGATTGGCCAGTAAACCCACGGGTGCTGCTCTGGATTTGTTGGTGGCTCCCAGACCTAAAGAAGTTCTTTCCCTCCTTTGGTGGTTCCAGAGACTTGCAGTCTGCGGTAGGACTTTGAGCAGAGCGACACCCCTACTTTTATGAGAGCCAGGTGCGCTCACAACTCTCTGCTGTTGCTGCCCACTGAATACACAAGTAAGTACAGTGGCCAGCAGAGGTCAATGATAGAGCTCTAGAACATTCCAGAGTGATGAATGATGAACCTGCGACAAATTAGAACCTGGTGCATTTGTCTGCTGTGAGATTCCCGCGCTATCTCCTGAAATTTTAGGTGAGTTTGGTGGAAATTTGGGGGGGAAATTTGCTCTTCCAGGTCCTTTTACCTAAAAGTGCTAACTGTTTTCTACAGCTAGGATATTACCATGAGGCGGTGCTTTCTCTGACTTTGGTAACTCCCAGGAAGTACCTTGGAAAGAAAATATCTTTCAATATGAGAGCCACAAGTTTTAAGTCGGTGGACGTCTAAAACGTGCAATCTGCGGTCTGTTACAGCCCTGAAAGCCACGCGAATCCACAGGGGGCTCTCTCCTCTCTTCCTGCCTGTCCTTTCCCCTCCTGGCCCCTCCTCTCCTGCCCTCCCTCTTTTCTCACTTCTTGTATCTTCTGAGGTGTTGGGAATGGAACCCAGGCACTCTGTCACTGAGCCACACTCCCAGCCCTTTTTTATTTTTTTATTTTGAGAAAGGGTCTCAGTAAATTGCCGAGGCTGGCTTTGAACTTGAGATCCCCCTGCCTCCGCTTCTCAGCCCCCTGGGATTATAACCATGTGCCACCATGCCCCAGAAAAAAATCTAGATTCATGTCTGAATATTGCCTGATGTTTATATATAAAAGATAAATGGCGTGTGTTTGATAAACCAAAGTGAAAATGATTTTAAGAAATCAGAAATGTGTTGCATTAAGAAATACATTGGGCTTCGTGGGAGTCCACACCCTCAGATTTTCATTTAATAAAAGGGTAGGTAGTCTCTTGTAGGGTGTCCTGTTCCCCTCCTGTTTCTTTCTTATTCCTCTCCCAATCTTTGCTTTTCCCTTTCTGTTTATCATGGAAGCATCTGAGTAGCACAAGAAGCCGGCCTTCAGCAGCTGAGCCAGACTGGGGGTCCCTATGCAGGCAGAACGAAGTCACTCCTTAGACCCCACGGAAGAAATCAGCGCAGCACCCACCCACCCTGCGGCTTCGCAAGGAGGAGCCGCCATCTGTGTGGCATGAACTGAAGAACCGCCAACAGTCCGCTCCTGGGTCCAGTCATTTCACAGTTGCGTGGCTAGCACTGAAAGCTGACGGGGTCTCCCTGGCTCGGAGACAAGCTTTGTCCTGGCTCTTGTTTTTCACAGGTCAAAACTGGAAACGTTCTCTTGAGTGTTCAAGAGGATGCACACACAGGCAGTCACGGGTGGCACTTTCTGCTCCATTGGGTTCACAGGTTGTGTTGTCTGTGAAGAACTGTCCCATGGCTCAGAGCTCCCAAGGACACCCTGGATGCATTTCTTATGTTGGAAATGAATTTTTAAAATAATTTTTGTTTGTGAAGAAATGAGCATACTCCAAAGAAAAGGAATTATTACAGCTAATAAAAAGGAATATGAATATTATGATTTTATTACTGTCTTATCATTTTAAATGCCATCTCCTGTTTTATCTCTGTTAAAAATTAAAAGCTTTTAAATACGTGGCTTTTGGTATTATTTTGGAACTGTGTGTTTTTTTCCTTTAAAATATTTCAAGCTGAAAATTTTATAAGTTAAATAGTAATGTTTAGGTCTAGCCTGCTAGTAAAGAAGTATTTAGCAAGTGGCTGAGTCAATTTTTCTGTTTGTTTGTGTAAAACTGAGTTTATCAACTGGGCATGGTGGTGCATACCTATAATCCCAGTGGCTCAGGAGGCTGAGGCAGGAGGACCACGAGTTCAAAGCCAGCCTCAGCAAAAGTGAGGTGCTAAGCACCTCAGTGAGACCCTGCCTCTAAATAAAACACAAAACAGGGCTGGGGATGTGGCTCAGTGGTCGAGTGCCCCTGAGTTCATTCCCGGCACAAAAAACAACCACAACAAAAAACCAACTGAGTGTATCAATTGTCATTCCCAGTAGAGACCAGGGTTCCTTAATGGGACAGCTCTTACCGATCTTGTTCTCAGCTCTATGCTTCACACATTTCTCATGACCCTCCCCCCCAAATATGGACAAATAAATGAAATGATTCAGCTTCATCCTGAACTGGGACCAATTCCTCTCAGATAAGCTTCCCAGCACATCATATTGATCTTGAACATCAAAAACTACTGTTCCTGTAATGGTATGTTGCTGTAATGGCGATAGTAACCCATCCTACAAAATCTTTCATTGAAATTATATTGAAGCCCAGCACAATGTCGTATGCCTGTAATCCCAGCTCCTCAGGAGGCTGAAG